ACGTCATTCCAAACTTCCAGGTTTTTGACGCGTACGCACACACCCAATGTATTTGTAGTGACTGCTCGCACTGGCAGAGGCTGTCCAGGGACTCAGGCAGACGTCTTTCACATCACCCACTGCCTGATTCTTTTAACTGGAGATGCCTGGGATTGAACCTGGGACCTTCTGCATGTCAAGAAGATGCTATACCATTGAGCCACGGCCCTTCCCCAACAACTGAAACCACAGTGAAATTCACTTTTCTTAGTGAACCAAGGCCCCATACCTCTGTGTGAGAAAGCCACAGGGGAAAATGGGAAAGGCTCCAGAGGAGAAAATTGGCCTCCTGCCCAGAACTCACAGAGGAATCAATAGAATTCTGATGCTGATTCTATTGGGTTAAAAAAAATTAAAAATCATTTGACTTGGAAGCACAGAAGCTTTACACAGTATCCTCCATGTTTCCCAGTTAAGGGGAAAATGCAGTTCAAACAAATTACAAAGATGATATGACTCCAAGAGAAATAAATTTTACTTACAAAATTAGAAGCTCATCTTACACAACATATTCATGTAGGTACATTTAACATATTGTGTACAGATTAACTTCAAAAAGGTTAACCAAGCCCAGGTAAGAGAGATAAGAGGGGGGGGATCCTATATAAGATGCCAACAGATGGCAATCAACGACCAAAGAGGCTCAACATCTAACTGATGAGAGGGTGGGGCCAACGGCCAAGTGTATCTGAGTGAGAGAATTCTGTTAGCCCTCTCCCTCCCAGATCCTCTTGCATGCAGAGCTACAATATCAAACAGATTCTTCTGACCATCAAATTCTGGCTGTGCCTTCTGTTTAATCCTGACCTGAATTCCTTTAACTTTTTAATGCTGACAGATCATTATGAACCTAATTGGCTGAAATTAGTCAAGAAAAAATTAGGTCCTTAGGAATACATCTAGATCCACTTTACTTATCATCTGCCTCCACAATATTTTATACAATTAAACGCAGGTTTCTAGATATTCAGTTTCAGCGCCTGACTGAGGCAGCCAGGAAAACCTGTTCCCCAGTTCATCTGGGTTTATCCCAGACACTGGGCCAGACAGCTACTTATTTTTGTTCTCTAACTGATCACCATCAAAGAAGGGCATTTATGTTAGCCAGATTTAATGTATTGCCATCGACCATCTTCTCTGGAAGATGCCAAAAAATCCCCTATGAACTTAGGCAATGCCCCTGCGGTCAGGGTACTATCGAATCCGTTTCCCATGTTCTTTTAAATTGTCCATTTTATACTAAGATTCGAGGAAAATTTCTGGACACCCTTCTTTTTACATGGCGTGGTCTTCCTGAGTGTATCAAGGTCCAGTTGCTACTCTCTGGGCAAAACGCTTCTATAACTTTTAATGTTGCTTGTTTTCTTCAATCTGTAATTCAAACCAGGGAAACTATTAATTGATCAGTTCTTTTTTGTTGGCTGTTCGACAGCCATACCTTTGATAAATTTTAATGTTATCTTATCTCTTACATGCCAATAAAGGTTGTCTGTCTGTCAAACAGATTCTTGTCACCTTTTTGTTTAAGCGTCTGAATATTGGGAGCCTATAAACCCTCTTCACAAATGGGTTGCAGTCAAAGAGGACTTCTGAGTTCACAACCAGTATTTGTGTATTTGACCATTTGAACAGATCTTCCAGTTCATACCAGTCTCCCTTTTAACCTTCTCCACTCTTATACCTTTAGCTGAATACACGTTTGATACACATACAATGTATGTGCTTATTTTTTCTGTATGAGCTCTTCCATTACAGCATCACCTAGGGAAATCTTAATGTAGTCTCAGTTGTATGTGGCTAAAGCAGAGAACAGCTATGCCTGAAATAACATTATTTTTTAGCAATCCTCGGGTGGGACTCTGGAGGAAATAAAGTGCATTGTACAATCCTGATTCCATGGGTTTCAATTAATTTTAGTTCTGCATCACAGGCACCATCGTTTTCATGTTTGCCTTGAGATTTCCTTGTTTCATGCCATAATTTATTCAGTGACATATACTGGGCATTGTCTAGCAAATCTTGATTCTCAGTTCAGTTGAATAGGGCTGAATCTATAGCTCAGAAATAGATGCCTGAGACCTCAGAGAACTCGTGCCAATCAGGACAGAGAACTGGTGAGCTAGACACACTAAGACCTTCTGATGTGTTCGCTGGAGGCCTTCTTTCTCAACATCTCATCTGTGCTATCCTGGTGATACTGCATGTTGTGCTATGAGGCTTGTGGGAGGTTCATACAATGGGGGGAAATGTTTGGGTGCATTTTGCTGGTTCATGTGGATATGCTCTAAGATAACTGGATTAAGCCAAGTTAAAAAGAGGGGGAGGTGTAGACCCAATGAATTTCTGCTCACCTTTGCCATTGGTAGACATCATCAGCAAAAAGCTACGCAGCACAGAAAGCTGCAGTGAGAAAGGGGAATTGGGCAAAATCACTTATCCCCTTCCACCTGCAAAACATCAGTGGTGCTTCTAGTTTCTAAAGATGCCCTTGATACACAAGGTAACTGCCACTCATAGAAAGGCCTGCTTCTGTGTTGCACAGTAAAAGCGAATCTAAATCCAAATCTTTTTCTGCTTTGTAAGAGCCATGCTGTTGAAAATTGCTGTGGAACTGCCCTGACCTGCATAGCCCAGGCAAGCCTGATCTCTTCAGACAGAGGTCATTTCGGGGGGGGGGGTCGCGGGGGATCGCAGTTCCCCCGGGGGAGGTACGGGGGCGGAGCACAGGACAAAGCCCCGCACCCTGCTTCCAGCTGCCCCGCTTCCGGCCCTCATTCAGCCAGGAGGAGGCAGGAGAAGAGGGAGGGTAAGTTGCTTCCTCCCTGCCTCTCCCCACCCCTGCCTGCCTGGGGCCAGGGAGGGCCTTCGCGGGGCTTCCTTGCACTCCCGCCGGCCTTGCAGGTCCACCGCCGGGCCCCTCATGGGGCTCGGCAGTGGAGCTGCAAGGCCGGCGCCGGCGGCCGGGACCATTGGGGGCGGGGTGTGTGGCCTTATGACATACTTCCGGTAATGTCAGGGGGTGTGGCATATGCTAATGAATTATGCTAATGAGTTCCCCTAGCTCTTTTTCTACGAAACGACCCCTGTCTTCAGATCTTTGAAGCTAAGCAGGGCCGACCCTGGCAAGTATTTGGATGGGAGACCTCCAGAGGATACTGGGGCCGGGAGGCCCAGAGGCAGGTTATCAAACCACTTCTTTGAGCATCCTCTGTGCTCCAGTAGGAGTCGCCAGAGGCCGCCAAGACTTCCAGGCATGGGCACACACACACAGAAACAAAAATGCAAAAATAACAAAAAAAGAAAATTGCTGTGGAACCCAGTGTATTATAGCACTTCATAAATTCTTACATGGTCACATATCTAGCCATTTTCAATCCCTGGCATCTCCAGGTAAGGGTCAGGCAGTAGATGATGTGAAAGACCTCTGCCCGAAACCCTGGGCAGCTTCTGCCAGCCTGAGTAGACACTACTGACTTTGATGGACCAATGTTCTGATTCAGTATAAGATAGCTTCCTGTGTTTGTTTGCAGAGCATCACTACAAGCTATTTTGCTTCTGATAATTGTTTTTTCAATCCATCCCAGACTTAGTGCTGCTTCCAGTGCCAAATTTTTC